AAACTTGCATTCGATTATTTTTCGAAATTATCACCGAGCATTTACAAACGTTTATCATAACAGGAAACTAATTTTCAAATTTCCATTGTAAATATTTTTAGTTTCCCGATGTTGTATTAAAATTTATTTATGTTATTTCTGACGCGTGACGTTGATCATTTTGTTTGTAGACGAATACTAATTTTTTATGAATTTTATATAAATAAATGTATCTCAAATTCGAACATACATTATAAAATTCGGAGGACTGATGTGGAAATACGAAACTTACCATACATCGACAATAAAGTCGCATCAATGTCGCCACCTAGTAGTAACTAAATATCTCTTTTAGAGCGGAAGTTAGAGGGGGTTGGGTAACTTTATTGACCGTCTCCCTCGTACATTCAGATGTACATGTATGTATGATACTAAACAAACTTCGAGTAGGTGTTGCAATGATACTTTTTTCAAATTTTATTGGACGATAACAATATTCTATATTTTTAACCCTTTGCAGTCGAAAAGTTTTTCACTAGACATATTCAAAATTTTCCTGTGAAATATGGACGACATTCTTTGAATTTAACTAATGCGCAAACACACGTAAACTAAGGAGCCAAGCTGTTTTATTTCAATATTTCTATCCAATATTCAGTTAAAAGGATTAATATAAAATATTTAATATACGTTTTCATGAGGCGATTTTAAGAAAATAGAAACGAATAAAATTTAATTCTCCTTATTAGTGACTAATAAATAAAATTGGAATTAAGTGGTATTGAATTTTGTAATAATCTTCGTATCCAAAAAACATAAACTTTTATAATGCAGTGTACCCAAACGAGAACAGAATTTTAATCGTGTCTTTGTTAATTTAACCATTTTTATTGCATTTTCAATTCAACAGTTATTACTATTTTTCAAGCCAATGAGATCATTTAAAAAATCAACGAAATGCTAGACTTGGTACAAATATAATTTATAAATCTTCACCATAAAAATATTGTAGAAATTTCTGTTTTACAGGATAATAAATATTATAATACGCAAAGGAATTACAGTATAAAGAATACATCTAATTACATTAAACAAAGCTACGGCTTCTTCTGTGAAATTATACTGATAATAAAAGAATCTCTGATTCTGTCAAAATCTTGCTGATCAACTATTTCAATTTTGACGATAAAAACGATTTACTGGAAGCCCGAAATTGGTAAAAGTTTGATTTAAGCCAGTAGTAGAAAAGGATTTCCAAGATGCACAAGGAGCAGCTAGACGTTTCTTCGCGTTGGTAATTTTTCTTCGGCGTTCCCAACGATCTCGCCGTTCGAGCGTGCAACTTCATCCTCTCAGAATAACACCTGGCGAGATTTACGTGGAAAGACTTTAGCCGAGGAAAATCGCATTCGTTCGGAAGCAATGGAGGCTCGGCCAGTTTTCCTCGGAGAGTTTTCTTTGGCGTTTCGTCACGAATTTCCTTTCTTCCCTCCTTTTCTCTTCTTCTTTCTTCATCCTTCCGCATTTGAAAGTCGAGTGCTGTAACCACCTGTCCTACTCATAAAAGGGAAAAAGACAACCTCAGCGGACAGGTTTTACCTGGCAGTCCTACCTGGTTCGGAGCCGGCAGGCATACCCGCTAACACAGAGCTTCAGAAAATTTTCTTTTCGTTCGGCTGCAGTTTTAACACTGAAACTACTTCGTTTTAACCCCTTCAGGCTTGATTTTTCTACGGAATTATGGTCACTTGTCTAATAACGAATGATCGCTATTTAACACTAAAACTACTAGACGGGTCAAAATGACCCATTCCTGATTTCTTCTTTCCGCGATTATTAAAAACATAGCAGATGCTTTTCTGGGAGTTATTCAAGAAATTGTTTTGGCAATACGTAAGCTGAATTGTGAATCGATTAAAGTCTCAATAGATGCACTCTTGGAGTTTCTATAGAGAAGTTTCAGAAAGTCAATTTCAGTGCTGGGTAGTTCTAGTGTTAATGCACCATTAGGAATGATATTATCTAGCATTACCTAGTTCACTTATGGCACTAGATATTTTTATTTGACATCAGATTTCTATTTGCAATTGCTTTCAAGCAATTTGTGATCGATAATTCTCTGTAAAACGGAAATTCTATGGTTGTCCTACGTATACGTTTAGTATGAAGATTAACTCTTTCAGACTTGATTTTCGTACAAAATTATGTTTATCTAACAACAAAGGACAACTGTTCAGTGCATCATCAGTAGTGACAGGTATTTCGAATGAAATGCTGGTTGTATATCACGTTTTTGATAGAAATAGGACAAAACAAGGGTGTATATGTGATTGTCTGTTACAGTTTTAACTCTTTGCGGACGAATGTCGACATTTCGGCGAGATGAAACTTTATATTCGTAACACTAAGTCTCGAGCAAATGATTTAATTAGTTGAACAGCAAGAGATCAGCACGGAGTATTCTTTTTTTCTATTAAGTAAGCAATCCATGTATAATTTAGCTCGATCTGCCGAAGGTTTTGTATATTTCAAAGAATCTTCGTCTGCAAAGGGTTAATGTTTCGTCAGATGTAGAAGTAGCAAAGTAGTGTTTATTATAATATGCATTTATAAGTACCAAATTGAGGTTTCAAATTGTACAGATCATCTTTGATAAGTTTGAATAACGTACAGGACGTGCTGTAACTGGTAGTTTAATCGAAATGTAATGTTTTTATTAAAAATAACGAAGTTCGAAAATTTGTGGAGGATGTGCACGCGAAGAACGGTTGTTCTAATTGGCAGAAATTTACTTGACGTAAAAGGATTAACCAATAATGTAAAAACAAAGTTTTTTCATTTGAGACCTCGGTTCCAAAAAGATTGGGTTTAAACATGTTTTATCCTCAGTTAGCCAAATGCGGGCACGATCGATGAATATTCAAACTGGATTTCCCCGAAAGTGTAATTTCGAATAAAAAAATGTTGTTCTACCGTTTATAATCACAATTTTCCGAGTGACAAAACATCCTGTATATTGATACTATAAAAACAAAGTATATGAAATGCTTGTATACATCAGTAATAATTTGCATAACGTGATCAGATAATTCCTGTTGGCCTTGTATATCACGATTGAAAAATTACTTCAAAAAAAAAAGTTTAACCAGTTAATTACGTTCCACCAGTATGCACGTCATCGTAAAATTTAAATTTTGCGCATTCGCCAATTACACTCGCCATGTGAAAAGGAAAATTACCATTTCCTCGGAAAATATGAAAGGTAAATAAATCTTAGTAGTATATTTTATCTATGTTATTATTGGAACTGCAATATTCAAGCGTATGTTTAAGTGGTATTAAAACATTTCTCAGATATTGCGAAACAAAAGCAAAATCTTGTAGCATAGTTGTCATTGCTTGAGTTCAATTACACGCCCCACGAGAAATATTGAAACCTAAATTTCCCAGTTAACAGTTTAACACGTCCAAATTACAAGGAAATAATTATAACTTATAAGATAATTAATGTTGAATACAAATGTTCAGTAATGTAAATAATTAGATACTCGTGTAACGTAAGAATTCTGATACCAAGTAATCAATAACTCTTCCTTTTAATCTTTGCTAGAGAAAGAATAAGCGATACATAAAATGATGACGCTTTTCGTGGCAGTCAACGTATTAAAACAAGTAAAAACAGACAAGATCAATGTTTATATTGAATTTGCTACGTTTGCCTCTTGTTTGTCGCAGACTTAACTCAGCGTT